TGTACAGACCACTGTGGTGTATACAGGTGTTCTGTTTGTACTTAATGGTTGTACAGATCACTGTGGTGTATACTGGTGTTCTGTTTGTACTTAATGGTTGTACAGATCACTGTGGTGTATACTGGTGTTCTGTTTGTACTTAATGGTTGTACAGACCACTGTGGTGTATACAGGTGTTCTGTTTGTACTTAATGGTTGTACAGATCACTGTGGTGTATACTGGTGTTCTGTTTGTACTTAATGGTTGTACAGACCACTGTGGTGTATACAGGTGTTCTGTATGTACTTAATGGTTGTACAGATCACTGTGGTGTATACTGGTGTTCTGTTTGTACTTAATGGTTGTACAGACCACTGTGGTGTATACTGGTGTTCTGTATGTACTTAATGGTTGTACAGATCACTGTGGTGTATACTGGTGTTCTGTTTGTACTTAATGGTTGTACAGATCACTGTGGTGTATACTGGTGTTCTGTTTGTACTTAATGGTTGTACAGATCACTGTGGTGTATACTGGTGTTCTGTTTGTACTTAATGGTTGTACAGATCACTGTGGTGTATACAGGTGTTCTGTTTGTACTTAATGGTTGTACAGATCACTGTGGTGTATACTGGTGTTCTGTTTGTACTTAATGGTTGTACAGATCACTGTGGTGTATACTGGTGTTCTGTTTGTACTTAATGGTTGTACAGATCACTGTGGTGAATACTGGTGTACAAATCACTGGTGAATACTGGTGTACAGATCACTGTGGTGAATACTGGAGTACAGATCACTAGTGAATACGGGTGTACAGATCACTAATGAATAGTGGTGTACATATCACTAGTGAATACTGGTATACAGATCACTGTGGTGAATACTGGTATACAGATCACTGTGGTGAATACTGGTATACAGATCACTGTGGTGAATACTGGTGTACAGATCACTGTGGTGAATACTGGTATACCGTGGTGCGGATCACTGTGGTGAATACTGGTATACAGATCACTGTGGTGAATACTGGTGTACAGATCACTGTTGTGAATCACTGTGTGTACAAATGTACAAATCACTGGTGAATACTGGTGTACAGATCACTGTGGTGAATACTGGTGTACAGATCACTAGTGGTGAATACTGGTGTACAGATCACTAGTGAATACTGGTGTACAGATCACTAGTGAATACTGGTGTACAGATCACTGTGGTGAATACTGGTATACAGATCACTGTGGTGAATACTGGTATACAGATCACTGTGGTGAATACTGGTATACAGATCACTGTGGTGAATACTGGTATGCGGATCACTGGTGAATACTGGTATACAGATCACTGTGGTGAATACTGGTATGCAGATCACTGGTGAATACTGGTATACAGATCACTGTGGTGAATACTGGTATACGGATCACTGGTGAATACTGGTATACAGATCACTGTGGTGAATACTTGTGTACATATCACTGTGATGAATACTGGTGTACAGATCAAGGTGGTGAATACTGGTGTACAGATACATTGTGGTGAATACTGGTATACAGATTACTGTTGTGAAAACTGGTATACAGATCACTGGTGAATACTGGTATACAGATCAATGTGGTGAATACTGGTATACAGATCACTGTGGAATACTGGTGTACAGATCACTGTGGTGAATACTTGTGTACAGATCACTGTGGTGAATACTGGTACACAGATCACTTTGGTGAATGCTGGTATACGGATCACTGTGGTGAATGCTGGTATACATATTACTGTGGTGAATACTGTGTACAGATCACTGTGGTGAATACTGGTATACAGATCACTGTGGTGAATACTGGTATACATATTACTGTGGTGAATACTGTGTACAAATCACTGTGGTGAATACTGGTAAACAGATCACTAGTGAATACTGGTATACATATTACTGTGGTGAATACTGTGTACAGATCACTGTGTTGAATACTGGTGAACAGGTGAATACAGATCACTGTGGTGAATACTGGTATACAGATCACTGTGGTGAATACTTGTATACAGATTACTGGTGAATACTGGTAAACAGATCACTAGTGAATACTGGTATACAGATTACTGTGTTGAATACTGGTATACAAATCATGGTGGTAAATACTGGTATACAGATCACTGTGGTGAATACTGGTATACATATCACTGTGGTGAATACTTGTATACAGATCACTGGTGAATACTGGTATACAGATCACTGTGGTGAATACTGGTATACAGATCACTGTGGTGAATACTTGTATACAGATTACTGGTGAATACTGGTAAACAGATCACTAGTGAATACTGGTATACAGATCACTGTGTTGAATACTGGTATACAAATCATGGTGGTAAATACTGGTATACAGATCACTGTGGTGAATACTGGTATACACTGTGGTGAATACTTGTATACTGTGGTGAAATACTGAATACTATACAGATCACTGTGGTGAATACTGGTGTACAGATCAATGTGGTGAATACTGGTATACAGATCACTGTGGTGAATACTGGTATACAGATCACTGTGGTGAATACTGGTGTACAGATCACTGTGGTGAATACTGGTATACAGATCACTGTGGTGAATACTGGTATACAGATCACTGTGGTGAATACTGGTGTACAGATCACTGTGGTGAATACTGGTATACAGATCACTGGTGAATACTGGTATACAGATCACTTCACTGTTGAGAAAACTGGTATACAGATCACTGTGGTGAATACTGGTATACAGATCACTGTGGTGAATACTGGTATACAGATCACTGGTGAATACTGGTATACAGATCTCTGTGGTGAATACTGGTGTACATATCACTGGTGAATACTGGTGTACATATCACTGTGGTGTATATTGGTATTCTGCGAAAACTTGGGAAAGTAGACGTTGGTTTTAAAGGTATGTTAGTAAGAAATATAAATCTTAATCCACACATTTTTAACAGAAAACTGGAGACACAATCTTTCTATGAAGTAACCAAATCATTTAACAGATGGACCCTGGGGTCCACCTTGTACTATACTGCCCAAAATAGTCAAGGATCATGGATAGACAGATTAACTCTTGTGAAATAAAAGCAATTGATGTTTTCTAACTTCCTTTCAGTAGCATATGGAGAAAATGAAATAAAGAGGTTTAGAAACACGTCTGACTGCCAAGTGAATGATAAAACATGGGTTACTTGTAAATTGTATATATCAAAGTTAAGTTAAATTTACATGTACACAACTTGTTATGGAATAACAACTTTGTTCTTGTTGCCATTCTGGTGAGGGTTGGTGGGGTAGCCTAGTGGTTAAAGTGTTCGCTAGTCACGCTGAAGACCTATGTTCGATTCCCACATGGCTACAATAAATGAAGCCCATTTCTGGTGTCCCCTGCCATGATATTGCTGGAATATTATTAAAAGAGGCGTAAAACTAAACTCATTCACTCACTCTTAAAGGTTGACAGATGAAAAAATGATGGGATTACAACATATCATACTGAAGCAGAGACGTTTCAATGTATACCATTGACAATCAAGACAATAGACTAGTCGGCCAGTGATCTTCTGGTTTTGACCTTTATTGAAGAACGGTGTCAGGTGAAACAAATTTGATGAGGACATGTCAATGTTTACTTCAGTCCCACCAGTGACCAAGTTACCTATGATATTTGTTCCAAGAACTAGAACGCCATGAATGAAAACAAGCGGTGCAAATCCACCGTTTCTCTTTTAATTGTGATCAAAGAAATCTTTCATGTAGATCCCCATCAGTTTGAGAAGTCCTTACCTTGGAAGTATCCACTGTCCAAATATGGTCAATATTCTTGTAGAAGTTACAGTAGACGTCCAAGTAGGGATTGACACAGTTAGTTGTTAGTTGCTAGTCCATTAGTATGAAACTAGTGAAAATATATGGGACTTACTTCTCCCTTACCTAGTTACCAGGTTTATTACATAAGCTGCTAGTCTGGCAAACGGACCAGAGATATATAACCAATGGCGTCCAATACTATGTTTTATACATTTGAATAACTGCACCTAAAGCTGTCTTCTGGTGTCCCTGGTGTCCCCTGTGATATTGCTGGAATATTGCCAAAAGAAGATTAAAAATAAACTCGCTCACTCACTCCTCATGCTGCCCATAACTGGCTTGTCTGAACTTGATTTCACAGGCTGTTTCTCCATTTTGTTTGAGTTGAATGAATAAGTGAGTCAGTAAGGTTTTAGGCTTCTTTCAACATTATTATTGTACATTTTTTATACCAAACTTATCCAGATACCAGTATCTGCTCAAATGTGTTGTATTTTGTTCCTGAGCAGTGGATCCGTCTGCTTACCAGTCATCATTTTCAAAATTCCCTGGGGAGGGTATGACCCAAGCTGCCTCAGGACAACAAGTGTTTCTGTACTGGTGGGTGGGGTAGGTAAGCGGTTAAAGCGTTCGCTCATCACGCAGAAGAACCGGGTTCCATTTCCAACATTGTACAATGTGTGAAGCCCATTACTGGTGTCCCACTGTGATATTGTTGTAATATTGCTAAAATTGGCCTAAAACCCAACTCACTCACATGAGAGGGTTCCTTTGAATCAACAGACTGAATGTACAGTGTTGTCACTACTCAGTGTCCGGTAAAGACCCGTAAACATCCATTGGTCCAACAATAACCTTGTCATTGCTGGGATACATCAGCACCTGGTGTCTAACACTTCGGACCACTCTCAGGGCGGTGGGGTAGCCTAGTGGTTAAAGCGTTCGCTCTTCACGCCGAAGACCCTGGGTCGATTCCCCATATGGGTACAATGTGTAAAGCCCATTTCTGGTGTCCCCCACCGTGATATTGCTGGAATATTGCTAAAAGCAGCGTAAAACCCAACTCGCTTGCCAGTAATATCAGTGGAAGACACCCAATGTAACCATTTGACTGCCCCATTAATCACTGAGAAACAAGGTCCTCAAAAATCAACACCTGTTGTCTTACTCCTCATGCTAAGAATGAAAACAAAGGAAGTTATTTATTTTGTTGTTTTTTTATTTGTTCTTTTTATTTTTTGTCAAATATACTGTACAAATAACAGTACTGATTGCTTAAGGTCTCGCTCAAACTTGTAGTAGTTTGTACAATAAATTAGTTCTACATTCTTGAGTCGATGTTGTACAAAGATGTGTAGTCAACAAAATATATACAAACATGTGCCCTTGTGCCAAGACCCTCCATGAACAATGCACGCACACACACTACCACACATCCGACTCGGTCACATCATGCATTGCCCACTCATGACAAAATGCTTCAAGATTGAAATGTGTTTATATTTTTTGAGGAAAATATCAAATTGGCAAGTCATATGAACTTGTTTCAAACAAGAAAAAAGTCATTAAAATATCATTCATATACTTTTCATGATTTTAAAACAAATGTACCAGTGATATTCATGACAACATGTAAGTTTGTCATGTAAAATTCAAGTCACTTAACAGCTAGCCAATCAGCATCACAATCCTTGTCCATCAAAGGAGGGCCTCGCATGGGCAATAACAAGCATATCATATGGGCCCCGAACCAGTATCAGATCTCTCTGATACAGTGGTCTTCACAACTCTTATTACCAGAATTATTACCACATCTTGTCCAGAAAAACATGGAAATTGCTCCTTTGGTGGGGCTTAAGTACTCACAAAACATTAAGTAGATAATTTGACAATGGACACTTTTTCTCCACAAGAAATGCAATAATTCTGGGTTTATTTTGCCATTCAGTCTGAGGTATAAACCATGTTGAATATATATCAATCAAAACTGCCCACAAAGCCATTGCACACACTGGAAGAGAGGATTTCATGAGGGGGGGGTTACCGAGGGGGTGGATTTCGCGGATCAGTAATTATGCATTGAACAGTAATAATTAAAATAATGTTTACCCCTTTTGTACAGTTACTTTATTCTAAGCAATAATGAAACTCAAGCTTTTGTATACCTTCCTTTCGTTAATGCTAAAAACTTGAAGTAACATGAAAAATCAACCCTGAGACCTGTTCAATCCTGTTAAGGATTTATGCCATTTTAAAACAAGTTTGGCCTCAGACTTTTTCATACTACTCCACTCAGCACTTGTATGCATCCAACAAACATATACCATTGGCATCTAAAAATAATAGAAATGACAACCATGTCCAAATCCTGCCACTGAAATCTGTCTATTACACAAATGATATAATGTCTGAACAATTTTATACGATTGCCCCACAACTTGAGAGATGTTATTTTTCTGTATTTAAAACTTCTTGTCCCAATCCACTATTTATTCATAGTTCTAAAAAATATTGTAACCATAGGTTACGGACATTGTTGTAGTGCTACAGAACCTTTTGAATTGGGCCAAGAATTAAAAAAGACTTATATTTGGGCTGTGCACTGGACAGTTCTCAGCGGAGAAACTTGTTAACCCTTTCAAGGAATGTTAACCACTCGGGTACACTGAGTAGAGAATGGTCCGTGAAAGGGGCTGGACATGTCGTCATCACGTGTAGCACACAGTATTATGCGTCTAGCCTATAGGAGCATTTAGCTGCAGCAAATAGAGAGGAAACACAAGATGCTGGAGGTAGAAATGAGCTTACCAGCTCTAGGGTTAATGCTGTAGCCGATTTGGGCCGACCTGAGGCGATGTGGCTACATTATACTAAAACAGCTTCACTTACAGTCTTAAAAACGCAAATTACATTTGAATAATAACTAAGAAAGATGTCCTTTAATTTTCCAGCAATATTTTAGTTTTTTCATTTCCTTGTAACTGAAGCCAATGAGCAGTTTTAGCCACATCCCCATCTTGCATTGCTCTTCTCACTCACTCTCCACACACGCCCGTGTCACATATATGTACAAAGTTTGTCTCATGCTCTCACTCTATTGCGTCTGTACACAGCTAATACTTCGTATGATTCCCAGAAACCTCCGCCTCCCCAAGACGGTCGCAGCCAATAGAATTGAGGTATATGGGGTCACATGGTGGAGGCTTCTTGTTCGATTGCTAATGTCTCCCTCCTTAAGTACACACGAACTGCTCGTTTTTGAGCCTCTTTCTGACACAAAAAAATACCCGTCTTCAGAGTTGCATTGTGGCGACACAGTCACCATTCGTCCACAACTTGACCATTGTACTTTAGCGACCATGTCGCTTAACGTCCAGTATCCTCATTAAATAGCACTGAAGTTTTGAGGACACTTTGCGCCATTGGTGGAGCATTTCTGCTTCACAGGATTTGAGCCAATCACAGTTGCTGTATTATGTTGCTCCACAACCCGTTGTGCTATACGTCAACCTGGGAGTTTTGTCTCGTTCGGTTCACAGAGTTCGTATGCAAATGAGGCCCTGGAATGACAGAGTGTGGGCTGTCGTAACAGTCACGTGTTTTGGCTGGCACATGATTGGCTGACGGGTGACAGACTTGAGTATTTACAGTTGCATGCTGGGACTTTGCTGATACGCGTGGGCATGCTCCGTTCGGCACCTTGTGTGATTTCTCACGTGTAGAGTCTGAAAACAACATTCAAAATATTAATTGGTTGCCCTGAATATATTTTCTTTACAAAAGAAAAGCCGGTATCTAGGATATGATGTAGATATACTTGATCCTTTAACTGTAACTCATGCCTTGTTTTCAATACAATATTTTAATATTTTTTAGTGAAGTAACAGTTATCATGGTCATTGTTACCAAATCATTTACATCTGACTACAAAGACACCAACATAATGAGGTAACAAGTTAAAAACCTTTCATTAAACTTGTCATATTGTTGTGAAGGTCATGAATTTATATCCTTTATGGCCATTTTTGCCAACTCATTTCCCAGAAAGCTTTGTGTCTACTGACCTACAGAGGTGGGTAACCGGTCCAGTGGGTTACATGTAATGTGAACTGGCTGTGGAGAGGTCAGTCCCCCGCCTGCTACTCCTCCACTGGCACACTCACACACACCCGAGTCTGAAAAAGCGAAAGGATAATTTAGAAAATCATCACTACACACACCAAACATAAATATTTCATGCTTGTTCTCAGAAATGAGGCCAGTTCTGTACATGCATAATATTTGTATGAAAACGTTTATGACTGTCGCATTATTCAAATATTCTAAAATCCATAAAATTAGTTCTAACCTGAGTGGTTTGCCAAGGGAGTTCCTACAGAAGAGCACTTTGAGTGAGCAACATGGGGCGACAACACACCATCAGGCCGCCCTACACTTCCTGACGACCTTGAACTTGGTATTGAGGAAATACTGTGAGATTTGTGCATGGATACTACATGTGAATGCACCCCCACAGTCCGAGAATTCTCACAGCACTCACAACTTTCACAATTGTCACAATTCCCAAGGTGTTGACACCGATCGTGATTGGTCAACTGAGGGTGAAATGTTCGTAACGTGTGATGCCCGCTTGTATGGGTACTGCTGGTGCTGTGTGAGCTAGCAATAGTGTCCGTTTCACTGTGCGGGTAGTGCAAGCTGGATATACTGTTTCCTGAAAACAAAACAACAGTTGTGAGTATTGGCAGTCAAAATATTTCTATTTCTTCAACATCATCTTCATGTCTAAATTACTCTAAGGTGTGGTTAGCTGTTTGGTTTTAAGCAATATTCATGGCACATTTCTAGTTTATGCTGTGTGTCACTTATTCAATCTCGCACATCTTTAAAATGTTATTTCAAATGAACTTTGTTTCAGTGGCAATACAATCTGCTCTACTGATCATTCAAAGTCGACAGGGCTCGTCACGATATGGCTGAAATATTGCTGATGTGACGATATATTTTAACTCACTCACTCATAGTCGACAGGGAAGAGATCTCCTTTTTCAACTCTTTAAGATTTTTATTGTGTGATGGAAGTCAAATGATACCAATGAGCTTTAGCAGAACATAAGTGGGATATTCGCCAGGATTATACACTTTTCACAATATTTAAGTACTGAACAATACGATTAGTGGGACATTCATGAATCTCACCTCCTGAATGCCTTCCTTGCTGCTGGTCAGCGAGGCTGTACTGGATAGACTGTGGCTGGTCGTCTTCATCCACATCGCTGGGGAAGATGGCGGCAGGACGGTTCCAACCATTTGGACGAAATCTCCCCGAGGAGGACTCGTAACCCGACTCCTTCATTTGGTAGTCTGGGTACTGGTAGTTAAGCACTGTTATCGGTGGCTGGCTGAAACTGCCTTCCTTGTCTGAAGAGGTGTAGCCGGAACTTGGGACTTCACAGGGCAGAGTTGTTTCATCTTGAATACAAAGATGCCCTATATAAATTATTGTGGTTGAAAAGTAAGTGCAGCAAAGGTGTAAACATATATAGAGAGAAAAGTTATAGTGGAAGTGTATGGTTTAGAGCGTGCAATATTACTACTGAATGTTTATAATTCCAATTATCAATATTTGAAGCTGTAATCATTAATTACACTTTTCCTCCTTTGAATTATTTTAAGATTTTACTCAATGATATTTACAGATTACATTAGCAATGTGCAAGTTTCGTTAAAGATATAAGTTCTGTCCTACCTGTTGGAGTGGAACTGTATAGCTCATGCCTCTTGCGTGTCTGGTAGATGATGATGACCCACACCAGGGATGTCCCCACGACGCAGCACACCACGGCAATGATGATGATGCCTGTTGTTGTCGATTCATCATCCAAACCAAACCCAGCGGCAGCATGGTTCCCGAAACTCCCGTCACCGGCCCGCAGTTTCAGCAATGTCTTGCCCTTCTGCTCTCCGAGGGTGTTGGACATCTTGCAGGTGTAGGTTCCTTTGTCTGAGGGCTGGGTGTCCACGATGATCAGCAACTGGTCGTCTGCGGTGGTGAAGTGACGATCGGTGAACACAAGTTCTTTGTCATCCTTAAGCCATTTCAGCTTGGGTTTAGGTTTGCCAGAAGCGCGACACTCTAGAACCACTGTGTCCCTTACTTGAAATACCTTCTCCTCATCCATTGGCTGACTGAAGGAAGGGGTTTCTGAAACACAAAAGAAAACAAAAGTGAGCTACTGTACCCTCAATAAACAATACTTTGATCAATTTGAGAGTTTTAGCTACCTGTTCTTCAATAAGGTACAAGCCTTATATTTTTCAGAATTCTCAGTGAAATTATTTTACTCAACTTAAAAAATAAAATTCCTGTTCCCTATAATCTGAAATCAGTAAGAATATGATCTTGTGCGAAAATTAAAACCAATCAAACATCATACAGTGAAGCTCCTAAAATATCTGTTCCAGTTAAGCCAGGCCTTACCAAGCACAGTCAATGTTGCATTGATGATGATGGTTCCTGCATCGTTGGTGGCGGTACAACTGTAGATGCCCTCATCCTCTGTCCGTGTGTTAGTGATGAAGAACGTGTCATCGGACGGCATGACATGCATGCGTCGGTCGCGGGCTGCCGGGAAGTTGATTCCACCGTCCTTCTGCCAGGCGATGGTGGGCTGAGGTTGCCCCGTGGCGGAACACTCCAGCTTGGCAGTGGTCCCCACCTTCACGGTGACATCAACAGGGATCTTCGTGAACACAGGGAACACTGAAACACAGAGGTGGTATTGTAAAACAGAGGAATACGATATAAAGCTCTTGCTCTCCACATTATACCTTTCAAGGTGCCATTGTACATAACATAGATTGTGAAAGTTGCTAAGGTATGGGAGTTTCGGTCACCTTAGCGCTAAGATCGCTTTGAAGAATGGCACCCAGATCAAAAGGTCATTATCAATGTGTTGTGACACCTACTAAAAGGAACCAAATAACATCCTGACCAAGAGGGATTTTCTGATTTACTTTAGATGTAAAATTTCCGTTACTGCATGTCATATTTAATTCTCTCATGACCAAAAAAATTCAGCCTTATTATTTATTTTGGAATTACATGCCGTACTTAACTGGAAACAACTGAATATTCTTAGCTGTGAGCTTGAGAGACCCTAGTCCAGGGGAGCTAACTCTTACCATGCACACTGATTTCAGCCTTCTTTGAGTAAGATGAACCGAAGTTGTTTGTGATGACACACTGGTAGAGGCCGTTCATGTCATCCTGCACATTTCGCATGTGCAGGCGAGATGTGTAGCTCATCGCATCACCATCCTGGACACCTTCAGTCACAACATCGGCACTGGTCAGGAGCTGAAATACATCATCAGCTACTAAAACATGGAACTTCCATTATGTATTCATATTCACAGCATATCTTTGAAACGTTACGCTTTATTAATTATCGGAAAGTCTGGTTATAAGGATCTGCCTGCAAAGGCAAAATCATACTGCTTCATTGTGTTAAACTTAATAAAAGATTTTAGCATGTGTACATACGATGTTATCCTTCTTCCACTGGAACTTTGGCGTGCCTTCTCCAGGCACCTTCACAATGCAGCCCAGGGTCACATTGTCTCCCTTCAGTGCTATCTGAGACTTCGGATCTTCCAGAATCAATGGCTTGGACAAATTGACTGAAACACAAGAAATACTTATGTAATCTTCTGAATCGACCATTTCTACAATAGATCACGAAAATCATCCAAATTTGTTCTTATTATTGTAGGTTTTGGTAAAACTTACTGCATTTGAAATCTTCAAACTGCACGTCGAAGATGTTGCGTCCCTTGAGGGATATGGGGTGACTGCACACAGCGTGGACGCTGGATTCGAACCCAGCCTGACGTAACCAGGCAGGGAGCCAGGCAATCTGGCAGTCACACAGCAAGTTGCTGGTGTTGAAATGTCTGAGGAGAGGAATTAGAAATATTTTATGCATTCTCAAAAGGGTACATTATAGAGTAGTGGGTTGGACCAATGAAGTAAGTACCATAAATAGGCAGACGACAACTGATGTATTGTAGGTGGGGCAAGAGGAGTTAAGATGGGTGGGGCAAGAGGTTTGTGGGGTAGGAGCAAGAATGAAAAGTGTGGGAGGGCTGAGGGGTGGACTGGGAGGGTGAGACTAAAAACACTTTTTCTTTGTTTATTTGGTTGTTAAATGCCACACTGAGCAATATGACAGCGGTCTGTAAATAATCGAGCCTGGACCAGGCAATCCAGTGATCAACATCGATACACTTGGGATTTGATAGGAGCCTGCCCACCTGATCCTGTTAGTCGTCTCTTACGACAAGCATGGGTTACTGAAGATCAATTCTAACACAGATCTTAACGGGTCAAATGTATTTCTATGGTATTGATGTGGAGTTATGAAAAATGAGAAAAGTTCATTGCAGAAAGATGGTGGATGATAATTTCACTGGCTGATGGGTATAAGTTTGTGCTCTGGTCAGTCATGAAAAATAATATTATTTATGTTGAAAGTGCACTTACAGGTCACGCATGTTGAGACCAACAAATGGATTCTCCTCAATGGACGTGATGGCGTTGTCTTCCATATACAGGTGTCTCAACTTGTCCAAGCCATCGAAGGCTTCACGTGTAATAGACAGAATCTTATTGGTGGCAAGACTCAGCTTAACCAGCTTCCGTAACCCATCAAATGCTGAATTTGAATCCTCAATGGCATCAGCAATCTCATTGTTATTCAACTCCCTGCAAACAAGAAGAATACACTTTAGTCGAATATGGGCCACGGAAAGGTCGAAGTATAACCAAAGCCTACTTCTTGAACACTTCCCCTTTCTTATTTGAAAGGAAGATGTTTACTCGAGGAATGGTCCCAATTAGACTCAAATGCCACAACTATCCTCCTCAAAAAACTCTCTGTTGACACTAGTGCTCAAATATTGTCCTTGTGTGCACGAGGAGATGTCTATGAGTGATCGTAGGCACGACACAAAGGAGGTCTCTGTAAGGAGCCCACAATTTTCTCACTTTCCTCTTGCCTCGGCAGGCCGTGGGTCAAGCCACTATCAGCATGCGACCCTGTGCAGGTGGGGCTCACTGCATGACCTGGTCTCACCCACGTGATAAGCCAACGTACTGAACAGACAGCACACCTAGCCCTAGAAAAACACACAGTCGCAATCCACAAGATTTCGGAACTTTTTATGCGAAATTTTCCCTCTCACAGTCTCACTGCTCAGAAACTTTTCTCGAACAAGTAATAAATGTCCTAGTGCCAGTCGCAGGAATATTTATTTATCCCGATATCAAACATTTATTTATTACGCGGTTGTGCCATACTGCGGCAGATGTGCGGATGAGCTGTCAACTGCTTTGTTTGAAAGGGAACTCTCACGCTACCTAATCTGGGCATTGAGGAAACGCCAATAGATCAAATTCATCAGCGATTAAACATACCATAATTCCTACACAACAGCACAATAAAATGGTTACAACTTTCAACCAATGCTTTGATAAAACAAAAACAAATATAGATTTAATTTAATTGACATCATGATGACCTTGAACCTACATTGTAAAGTTCATTACGGGCAAGTTGAAGAAAACGTTTTTGACATAATACAAAAGACGTCCATCCACAGGTTTTCGCTAAAGCATAAAGTCCCTCAGTCTACTGAAAAATATTTTGTAGGCTTTAGATGTTATTTACCATTTACCTATTTTTTTTCCAAAACAAATTTCTCAGAAAGTTGCTAAGTGAATAAGTGGGGAGGATTTTTTTCCCCCCAACAATGTGTAGAGCAGTTTTTCCTTACATATTAGAGAAATATACTTACAATGTAGTGAGAGAAGATAAGTCCTTGAAGGATCCATCATCTATCCGAGAAATCAGGTTGAAGTTGAGAAGCAGTTCCTGAAGCGCCTCTAGCTGAGCAAATGTTCTGGAGGCAATTGAACTCAGGCGATTGTGGGTCATATCCCTGAAAAACGAGAGTAAACATAATGAAGACTAATTTCAAAAACGATTGAAGCTGTCTTTTGGGGAATATGTTTAAATGCTAATCAATGCATAAAACATCTGTTTAGTTGTCACCCTTTTCCCATTTCCAGAATGGTAGAGAAAAGCTGAAGTACTTAATCAATACTCAATTCGAAAAGCCTGAAAACATTGTATTGTGAACTGCAAATACACAGCATATCTCTGAAAGCCAGACAAGAGCTATGATTACTGTTTCATGTCGATGCAGCCATGGTCCACGCCCCTTGGGAGCCTTATTATTCGAATTTGTATGTAACATTCATGAATTTACACACACCAGTTGCCAGGCCAGAGCACTGAAAGATTCTAATTTTCAAATAACAAGATAGTTGTTACCTTGATGAATGGCTGAAGCAGAATTCAAGCATTACTCACTTGACCCCTAGTGTAAGAATATCAAACACATTCCTAGTGCTGACTCAAGTGAAACAGGACAGTGAAGTAGCCAGCCTTGTACGTTCTATGAAAACTATGATGAGTCAAAACCTCCTACACCATACAAGACCCATACAAACTGACGTACTGGGAACATGGATTCCAGTTCAGGCCGAAGCAGTACCTTCCTGGCTGCCATCCCCCAATTGATGACAATAAAGTCTACACCATGTCGTTTCTCTAAGGTGACCCGTATTAGAAACATAAAACACAACCACGAATTTGGTTTCAGCACAATAAGACCCTTCAATAAGAGACCCTCATTTTCCCTGCTGGTTGTCCGCAAATGAATAAGTTTGCGATCGTCAAGCTAGCTACTGACAAGACAGTGGTTTCTTCTGTCATGTTGTGGCTCTTGAGAATTCATGACATTCGCTGCCATTATTTGATGTCATTTATGTAGTATCTCAAGAGGCTTTTCTTTTCATGACGTGAACTTCACGTCGGAGTACACAGCCTCAGATAGTAGGTGCTTCAGACTTAACACAGATCAACTTTAAATAACATTCACTTAACTGCCTCAAGTAGATAATTACTATCATACTGAGAGCAACACTGAGGTAAGTCAAGGTCTTGAATGAAGATTAATAATCCAATACACTTCTTTCCACAATGTTGAATGAAACACTTGAAGTAAGTTCCCATAAACATATTCATTACAAAGATACAATGAAGCCTTATTCTATGCTTAGGTCCCAAATAGGATTCAAAATGGCAGCTTGTGCAACAGGTAAGGGACAAATGAGGGCCAGTTATTCGATCAATTTCCTCTGCTTCATCCATCACATACATTCTAGTACTTCCTAAACTTTCTTAAAAGAAACTTATTAATACTTCTTTTCATCTCACTACATGCATCATATTGGTAGTATCACATGACTTCCATGTAAAATTGTAGATAAAGGAGGATTTCAGATTCAGAATTCATCAAAATGGTTTCTCACACAAAAGCTGGTTAAGACAAATGACAATCAGTTATTCAAGCAACTTCTTCCAAACACTTCCATTTGCTACTTATATAATGTTGAGTATGATTCTCAGATGCCAATTGTCTGCAGGAAATTCCCGTATTTCTTTAAGACAAATCCTGTCTACAACTGTCATCCATCCAACTTCCCAAACATTAAAACAGAAATAAAGTCCTCTCCATCTGAACAAGATTCAAACCATATAAACCTAACTTTCCCAATTTCATCCAAATCCAGGCCAACAAGCACATCAGCCCATAGGGAATATATCAGCACCAATGGTGTCCCTTCTCCTCCCTATATCCCACGCCTGGTGTATACTACAGCCAGGTCGAGCCCAGGTCCAGCCCTGCTGCCACCAGTTGTTGTGAATCCACATTCCAGTGGGCCCTGCTACACACTCGCTGATAGCTGCCACATGCTCCACTACCTTTGAAAGTGCTAGTTGGCGACCAACACAAATAAACAGCACTGGAACTGTTTGGAACTGTTCCCCTATCCGATTCCTCAGACAGATCACTTTTTTATCATTTGGTAAAATTCAAGCAGCAAAGTTGCCAAATCAACTTCCTTCGAAGCGAAATGATCACACTCTCATTCCGTAATTAGTCGGTTCTGCTTTCCACAAGGATCATCACAGCCTAAAAACAACATGGCCACCGTTCCCGTCTGCTTGTTTTGGTGTATCTGCCAGGTACACATCTGCTACCCCTCCAGCAGCTGCACCCAACTCAATGTACCCCCTAAAACCATGCCAACCACAATTTCCACACAGATCTGTAGATACCGAAAGATAGCAGTCACATGGTTGGCCTGCACATGAAAATTACACACCGCAATATGGAGGAACCGTCCATGAGTGGCAATGACCCTTAATACCGAGATAACTCTTGCCATGTTTGAAATCATGTATTCATAAATTCCCATGAGCCTTGGTACACCTGCAACGTCTCTGGCAAATCTCTTGACATCAATCCCATTTAACAAAATAACCTCACATCTTGCCTGTTAAATATTTGATCATATGGTATTGGACCACTTATCAATTGATGTCTACGAGAGGCAGCCATGCAGGGAGATAACCAAGTGCCAAACTAAATCTGCTCTCCGAAAAATACAGCTTACAAGGCGACCACATCACAAGTGCAACGCTCATCCAGAGTTCACATTTCCTTAATATTCCCTCACAGAAAATAAATGACTTTCAGGCTGTCTGAATGACTTGAAAAATGTTTTTGAGGATTAAATAATGCATTCACTGTTAAAAGTGAATTTTGTTTTTAATTACAGATTGAGAAAACAAATTTCTACCGAGGAACGAACCTGTAGGGAAACTACAAACAAACAATGAATGGCAAGATCTGCCACTGGGATGATTATTCACTGTGTAGCCGTTTCTCTGAATCACAGTCGAATCAAAACAAAACATCGGAGCACACAACAACGGAAGCGGTATGCAAAATAAAATTTGGTTGGTTGTTGCATAGAGTGTCGGAATGAAGCACCAAGACAACTTTTCTCACCCTCCGCAGCACAAATCCATCTAAACCAACAGCTGGTATTGACTCGAACTCTATGTGGGCTTCTGGTAAAATGCAGCGCTCACATGCAGATACTAGATAAATATGCCTGTGTTTGCGTCGGCTAATTCAGCATTGAAAACATGGAAAAGCCTTGCCACTAGAAAACGGTTCTGCAATTAACCAAAAACCCATTTCACTGAAGTTTCTTGTGACAATTATTCAATTAAAAATCCAACTAAAAAGAACTACACATCTAGAACCTATGAATAACTAACTACAAGTCAATTATTTTTACGATCCTGAGATCATTATTAGATCATTACAACTCTTTCTACCAAGACTGTTATAAAACAGAGGCACATTCAACAAAACTTTCCAAGATAATTCAAGATTCTCTCACTTTATCATAAGTAAAATAGCTTACACTAAAGTTTCCACATTTTAATCAATTTTGGGATGAATAGTGTTTTCATACAGTGCCCCGAGAAAAATAGCACAGTTGAAGTATTCGAATGGCAGCCAACCACCGAGCTGAAAGAACTGAGGTCTGCCGGGGTTATCCACCGAATAAATTCAGAAATAACAGAGTCCACAAACAAGCTAACGAGGAACGAGGAGTCTGTTGTTGGATCGCCTCTATTGGTGTTTTCCTGGTATTGTCGTCAGCTTTTGACAGGGCAGGACAGGCTCGATGCTGGCGCGCCTCTTTTCAATAGTCCACATTGAGGGTCGTTCATGCAGGCCCATGAATCTATTGTAACTGGCCCAAGTACAGCCCAGGGCTAAGGCGAAGGGGAGTTGGTATTGGGGGGTGGGTGAATATTTGCAAGATTCATGATTACAATTGTCACAATATTTTACAGCCCTGTCCAACCAGGAAAAAGCTGAGTATACAAATCACATCTCTCCTCGCCAAACAGCATCAACACTAAAACATTTCATCAGGATTTTTTTTCTTCAAATAATTCCTTTCTATCTATTCTTTTCTTGTGATACACGTATTTGTCGTTTTGAGGTCAAAGTAACTCTGAAGGTATCATTCACGAGTCTCATCCACAAAGCGCCCCCTGGTGAGAGAAAGATAGCAGATGGCCGCTCGTAAATCATCTTACTGTTTCCACCAAGAGGTAAATCATATTGTAAATCATATTGGGGAGGGGGCATCTAAGCTCAGATAATAGTATTAATCCCGATCAATCAAGCGTACAGTTCATTACATGTTCTCCTTATCAAAGTTTCTACTTACAGTAAACGACTAGGAGCCAATGAGAAAATCATTCATGCAAGAAACTGATATCATACAAATCTATCCTGTTTAGTCGGGGTCTTACGATGATGTGGACTCGTGGACTAACGTGACACTCGACATAACCGGTAGTAACAGCAGGCAGTGGACAACTGCTACAGTAGATGACAGAGAAGCTGACATGCAAGAGGGATCATCCTCTATCATCAAGGGTATTTTATCTCCATTCTACTGAGATAAATACCCTGGAGACATTTGTTACACTTGAGGCTGTTCAGGGTGTGAGAATAGTCCTGTTACAGAGGACAATCCTGATGCTGATGCTGATAATGATTGTTTTCATATTAGGGTGAGTGAGTGAGTGAGCGAGCTTGGTTTGTAATGCTGTTTTGAACAGTATTCCAGATGTCAGCCTGATGTGTGTGTGAGTGAGGTAAGTTTTCCACCACTTTTAGCAATATTCCAGCAATATCAAGGCAGGGGACACCAGAAATGGGCTTCACACATTGTACCCATGTGGGGAATCGAACCCGGGTCTTTAGCGTGATGAACGAACACTTTAACCACTAGGCTACCCCACCGCCCTGAAGTGTGAGGAAACCTCCAAGTGATGTGGATGTCAGATGTTTACAACTTTGGTGAAAGCCATAAGCCTGGTCAAGGTTCCGACAAGCCAAGAAACATAACCAGAGAGATACTGCCTTCCATGCAGTCATGCAGTACAAGAGGAACATTTGCTATACTACCAAAAGTAAAAAAACGGTATCTAAAGTTACTTACAGTTTGGTGAGTTTCTTGCAAAAACCCCAACATTCTTGCTCAATTGTGTGAATATTGTTGTGCGAGAGAGTCCTGAAAAGCAAAGAAACTGATGTGAAACCTTTTCATACCATAAACAAGCCACACTGGGAATCAAACCCTGACCATCGGTGTGACAAGAGAATGCTGTACCACGAGGCTACATGTGATTCACACCACCCTTGTACAATAAGAAAAAAGTAGGATTCTATAGGCAGGGCTCCAGATAATTTTTCATGATCAGGAGTACGTACTCCTTAATATTTCCATATAGGAGTACTGGAAAACAAAAAGAGAACATTTAGAGTACTGAATGGAATTTAATGGAGTATCTTCCCCCTACAACATATGCACCACAACATTGCTACTCTTGTGTGAACAGGTCAATAAATAAAACAATACTTTTTGAGATAAATACATCTGTAAATGATTCTAAGACCGTACACCATTGCTGTGGTGCGTATCTGCTACGTTTTCTAAATTATTTCCTACCATATCGTGCTTATTTTATATCCGTACATACACCGATATGGCCCTTATCTGGAGCCCTGTATATGGATAAGAATTTCTTTATTATATATGACGTGACGTTTGGGTATGGATTCTTATACCGTTGTCAAGAAAGAGTGAACTTCTAAAATGCCAATCAAAGAGACCCCCCCTTGTACAGTCTTGTACACATCAGTATGACTATTGGTGGTGTTTTTATTAGCATGTTGCTTGTCTTCATTCATTGTTTTCAAATTTGAATTTTCATCTGATTCAAATAATTGCTGTTCTGACATCAACAGCAGCCATATATCTACGCTATTGTGCTAGGAGCCTTGCCAAATGTTTAAATAGGTGTTATAACCTTCTCGAATGGCTTATTAGAGGTTAAACATTTGTTATCTATTATTTTTAATTGTGGAATGAATACTGAAAATAAAGTCTCTATTTCCATCTCGTCATCCAAACAATAGACCAGTGATCTACCATAAACACTCATTATTCTATCGTTCAACACGTGACACAGATCGACTGGCCAATTATTCGTTCTAATACCCCACGATGAAAGCTGCCACCGATTTGTATAACACCCAACAACGACACTGTGTATTTTTGCAGTGGCAGCCATATTGGTATACCATCTGCACGTTGTCTAAAGTCCCTCGTCCGACCTTTCCATAGGTGGAAACTGTGCACAACAATATGGCCGCCACATGTAGCGGCCGCCACCACTAATACATACACCATTAAGGTCCAAACTCCCAGCTCGCTATAATGTCTCCTAATTCTTTTGTTTTCTTGCTTTTTCATTTAAGTTTGAACACTAACCCAGTGCACGCTAACAATTGACATTGTTCATACAGTCCCTGAAACCCAGATGCCAGACTGACTTCATACCCAAATACCCAAACTTTGAAAATACCACCAACTCAGAAAATAAGAAGAAACAATTTCAAAGAACATGGCACATTAACAATTCTTGGAGGAGCATTCACGTCCTCCAATTCCAATATTGCTGAAATATGGATCTTCATAGCTAGGGCAAGTTATAATACATATCTGCATGGTAAGAGAGCGACATTATACATATCTTCATAAATAGGTGCGATATGACACTTTCATCCTAAGGGTGCAATATTTTACATATCTTCTTAGTAAAGATGAGATATGACTAATAATTTCATTGTAAGGTTGCAGTTAATAATGGTATGCTTGAAAACAATTTGGGGCACCTATGGTCATTGAAAAGAGAAACAAACTGAAGCCAAACCAAACCAAATAAACAACTTGACATCAATGAATATAACACTGGCTTTAAAATTGGTGTTTCTATAAGAAAACAGCACAAATAAATGATTTTCATAACATTTCATGTTCTAGTTACTGATATTTTTATCATTTTGCGTTTGTACATGTTTACACCACAGTTTTCACACAGCAGTCGAACATATATACTGCACAGACCCTACAGTTAACTGATATCCCACTCTCACAGCTTCAGAGGCCAAGTTCAGTACGTACAATTATACCGAAAACAACCACTGTTACCAAGAATCCTGACATTATGGAAACAATACAATCTTCTTCTAGCTCTTTGAGATGTAATTAAGCCTAAACAGGAGCTTCTGTCATGTCCTTATATCTCCACAGGACAATCAGCTTGCAAGTTATCACTCATGCTGTCAAAATAAGTCGTCTAATTGTTTTCCCCAGTGAGTTTGTAAACCTAATCAAATTAGGCTGATTTAGAAAAGGGAATATATATCGGGCCCTGCTGCTCAACTATAAAAATGCATGTCATTTTTATTAACCAAATTTATTTTTTTCACAAATTTTCCTCATAGTATGACAAGTTATCCATGTTGGACAGCTGACATTGCAATGAAGATCAAGTTCAATGAGGGCTCACATATATGTTGGCGTTATTACACATTATTTCACAGCACTTCCCGAGTCACAACCTTAAAAAACGTAACCTTCCACTTGAGACGACAGAAAGTAGTTCAGTGAATTTACACGACAGAGTGGTTTATCCAATCCCCAATATTGCCAAGCACTTCCTAACAATATGCCTACACAGTAGGTAAACATGGGTTTCAATTGGACACTTGCGACACATGTTTAGACTTCGACACCTCGTTCAAGTAGTTCCTTCACTTGGTTTTTACTCAAACACCCGTAACATCAAACTGGCTGAATTTCTGAACAGGGATATGATTTTTTCCTTTTAATCAGAAATAAGCCTTAAAGATGTTTCGAAATGCCATGAGAGGATTTGTGGCCATGGAGGATTTTTCTTTATTCGGTGTGCCAGTGACTCGCTATTGTATGCCTCCTAAGGTATTAAGCAGGCGAGCTGGGTTATCTGGGACAGAACGAAAGGCTGGTGTACAGCTTGATTGAGCTATTGTGAGGGGATTAGATATAGTCCATAGAACACCACCTCCATACACCCTCACAGGAGCTGGGATGCCTCGAACCGTTGCATACATGAATGGGACTGGCCTGGGTTAGGTGGTCTTACCCTCAACTTCATCTAAACTACAAGATCATTTCATTTGCATAGAGCTTAAAAGTGCATTTTACAAAAAAAGTTTAAAATTAAATTTACTAATTAACATAACATTAAGTAAAAAAAAAATTAAAATTATTTCAAGTGCATTTACATATTTGAATAAATTTAACGTGAAAGTATGATATGGTGATTATTAAAATCAGAACTGACTTTTTGGTTTTCAGTATAATTTATTCACATGAATGTTTGGGGGTAATAATTTCATATCTGGTCTTAATCATTTACTGTAAACATCATATTAATCTAATTGAAGGGAAAATGAATACAGTTTTCATCAGTTACATAATTTCTTCTGAAAAACTATGGTTCAATGTTCAATAATTAATTATTCACAGAAATTAAGAGTGCTTTTTCAGCAGCTAGACTCTTGTACTGTAAAGTTCTGCAAGTGTACTCACAGTTGTCTGATAGACTCTAGTCCATACAGCCATCTCTTCTGTACACTGGAGATGTTGTTATGATCCAGCAGGCTGAAATTCAAAACAGCTCATATTAATGCTCTCCTATGAAGCAACATTCGAACATAAGTTTGAAAATAATGTCAAATGCATACTTCAACCATGAACTCTGAAACTCCCAACAGTGCACACAATGTAAGTGGCCTTCACACATTTATCATGTGGGGAATCGAACCTGGGACTTCAACACAAGCAAGCACTAGGCTGTGCTCACACCTTGCATGTTCTGCAATTCCATGGTGTTCTAGAGCCAGGCTGATGTCCATCATAGTGTCATTCCTAGATGGAACCCATATGACCAGTCTGGTCTTGTTTGTTTAGTGATCACTAAATCGTGCATTGGTTGGACAATATGTCTGGCTGACAGTATATCATTTGTGGAAATTTTGTATATCGCGGAATTAGTAGAACCGCAGTATTTTGCCTTCGGTTCGGTATACCGTAATGCAATCTAAAAATCGGATCTTCGATTTTTGTACCGTCATTTTATTAACCTTTTTAAACTTTTTCCAAAATGGCTAGAAATTTAATCATTTTGTCAAAATCTATGCTTTTCTTTTCTGTATTATGATCATATCTCATGCATCGAACCGAAGGTCTTGTACCGCAATAAGTACTGTACCGTTTCACCACTAACCCTGTTGATTCCAATGGTCCCCGGTACAGACCTCTGTGATTTATATGTTAATGTGGATTCGTTGAATAAAATGTCTGAACTACAGTATGTAATTTGTACCCTGCTGAGTCCATTAACCCCAGGTTTGTCTGCTAGACCTCTTATCTATAAATCAATGTGGATTGGTTGGATAAAATGTCCGGGTGACAGTATGTCATTTGTACCCTGCCCATTCAGAAGGTCCCTTGAAGCACAGGCTTGTCTTGTACAGACCTCTGTGGATCTAACAGAAGCTTAGCTGATTCTAATGTAGAAACTTCCCACACACTAAGACTGAACTCAACACAACTCACAGTGTCTCTACTCTCTCCAAGCCATAGAAAGCACCATCCATGAGGTTGGTCAGGGCGTTTTTCTTCAACTTGAGCACTTTCAAATGTTTCAGTTCAGCAAATGCAAGACCTTCCACCTTGTGTATTCGATTCCTGGTTAATTCTCTGAAAGAAAACATATTTGTGACAATAATGTAAAACTTATTTTCCGTCTAAAACGATCAATGGCTGCTGAAAAGATCTCTGTTGCACTTGCTTCCCCCATCCAGACAAACACCCCACCCCTAATCACATGCGTATGATTAGATAAACACACTTGCATTCAAGTTAGCCATTTGGAGAGAAAATTGCAATAATTATATTCAAAACTTTCCCTTACGATCAAGCACCTTGTGTAAATTATAGGCAAGACGTCCACAATTATACAGTTAGAAAATATATTTAGCATGAATCAGGCTGTGGAATGGTTATTTCTTTACAAATCTACTCGGCAAACATCATATTTGATTTCACTAATAATAACAACATAAATATCCTCATCAAATTCCTCTACAGCTACACAGAACCATAATTGTCTTATAATGAGGGAGTATTAAAGGAGGGTTGTGTACTGGGCTTCCATAAATCACACAGGTGTTCACTGGCTGGCTTGGGTTTCTCTTTATAACACAGCTAGTCAGTCAACAGTGACCAGGCTCTCACTGTGGGTCAATGCTTGAACTCTGACCTCAATCTGGCTCTCAGATCAAACAACAAATATCCAAGGCAACTTTGACCTTTCTCAGAATTAAAATCATTCAAAGCAGAGTTAGATGGAGTTTATTTTCCCTTTAAACCCTTCTGTAATTTTCAATAGAAAGCCAGAATTATATTATATGCAGATTGAGATTATTTAAATTCTGGAACATCTGTAACATATCTTTGAGACAGCTGATACCAACTTCATCCATGCTGTATAGAGCGTGGCACATGTGATAATGTCACTGTTTAGTGAGATTAGCAGAAAAAAGTTTAAAAATATATGGGAAAGTTCAGGATTATTTTTTTCTGAAAACATAGAATGACAGTGACATTTCCTCTTCAGTCAATTTGAGCCATATTTGGGAATTATTATTAATTTATTGTGTTGAATTGCCTGTTCTTGAACACCTGCATCAAATTATGATATTATTACATAAACAGTCCCTGTAATTTCCATATATGATTAAATAATGGCTGGCATTAGAGCCAGCCTGCATCCACCACCACCGATTAGACACCTGGTCTTGTGTGAACATGCCTTGAAATACTCCATGTCAATTAGCTACAAAAAATGAGTGGAAAACCTAGGTTACGGATGTCAAAACCAAGAAAAAGTCAGTCAGCAATATCAATGATTATTTCCATACTTTGCTGACAATGTTCTCTGGTAGATCTGATGTGAATTTTTATACAAACATTGGCAAAAAGCCCTGACAAGAACTTCTATCAAAAAACGTGATGTGAATGTCAAATGGGGGGGCTCTACAACAAACTGAGATCGCAATAACGCGAGTGGCTCGTACAATGGTAATCAACGAGATCAGTTTCATATCCCACATACACAGCTTGGTCTTCAGTCTCAACAAGCTGCCCCAAATTGCCTCCTGCTTTGCCATAGGAGTCATTCGCGATATTGATTAGCAAACGAGACTTTATTGATGCCGATGTGCATGTTTGAGGGTCAACGCGTCAAAAATGCCAAAGAAGCGTCGTCGCCATTACCGAATCTGTGGATAACAGCTTCGGCCAATGAAAGCCATTCTGCTCTGACGTGTTCCGATACATACAATGTCCCCCCTGACACTCCCGATTGCTAATGACTGTCATAGGAACGATTAGTTTCAAACCCTCATTTCACGTAAAGCTTGACAATTTGCATGATAATGGCACACTCACTCCAGATATAAACCCTTCTTTAGTGATTCAGCTTCAATCATCATGAGATCTGGGGAGAACCATTTCACTAGACTTGTCCGTAATAGTCCTCTTTTCCATCTGATATTCACTGATGATTAATCGCCTTGATGGGGTTCAACAAATAGCCCCTTACATAATACCACAGGTTTTTTATTCCACCAGAACGGCTTTGCAAAGCTATGAAAAAAGAAGCTCGTTCGACGGACATAGAAGTCTGAATTTCATTAAATGGCCAAGATGCTTACAGCGATTAAATGCAGCAACAAAAATGTGCAGCTTATGTTAAGCTAGTGATTACAGCAGTACCAGCCAAACATGAGAAGTCTGTAACTGATTACATCAATACTAAATGCTAGAGAACCTATCGATTGTGAAACAATACCTATTATTGAAGACAGAGTATGCTTGTTAGAAACACAACAGTTTGAAAAAGCGCTGCAAATTTTCGGGTTGATGAACGCTTGTGAAATATGTTAACATTGATCAAGATCAAATGTGTTTTTCATCTCTGTTTACAAAGTTAACAAAATAAAAACAAATCGCATCGTGTCATGGCTTCAAGATACAATTAAGTTTATAGGAAAACATCTCCAATTTGGTAAACCTCTGTTTGTTTTGTGCTGAGCAGCGTTCAAATCGCGAAGTAAAATAGTGCAATGACTGATTAGTGAAGGAATATTTCGAGACTGCACCAAAAACTTTAGAGACATTTTTAAAAACACTTTTATCAACATGTATTTTTCAAAACCAAAGATTGGAGTTTTCTTTTCTGCACAATCTAAAGTGAGAACAGGAAGAATCACCTTGTAGAGAATGATTTGAATGGATGGTGAGAGTTCATGCAACGTTTCAAACCTATCTTTATTCCAAAGAACAGACTGACTGACTGACTGACTGAGTTTAGTTTTATGCCGCTTTTAGCAATATTCCAGCAATATCACGGTGGGGGACACCAGAAATGGGCTTAACACATTGTGCCCATGTTGGGAATCGAACCCGGGTCTTCGGCGTGACGAGCCAACGCTTTAACCACTAGGCTACCCCACCGCCCCCAAAGAACAGAACGTAACACGAATTGATCAATTGTGGGATTTAAAGCCTTAACATGAGAACAAAGTCTGCAATGCTACCAAGTTGTCCAACTAAATGTACATGGATAATTCTTATTTCCCTGATTTTAACATTGTTCAGGTTTGACAGGTTGCCACCAACATGGGGATTAGAACCCAGACAGGATACAGGAGAAGACAGTATCCTTCCCCATGGATCCACCATACATGTCTACATTCATGGTATCAATACACGCTTTGGTGTGTGGAAAACTGAGTGTAGGTTGTGTTTGCTGCTCTGGATGAAGTCAGAAACTGCATCACCGTCAGAGCCAACACACTTTCCAATGAATGATATTGTTTCTGAAGCTTGTGAAAATTTAACAGGAGTTGAGGGTTTGTTAATTAGCTGGGATTCGAAGCCAGACCTGTAGGTGGGGCATGGCATGGGTTTTGAAAACGTAGTCGTTCCTGATGCAAAGGGAAAGGCAGTGTAGTACTTACAGAGTTTTGAGGTTTGTCAGATTGACAAACTGATGCTTCTGGATCTCCATCAGCTTGTTCTTGTTTAGTTTCAACCATTCCAGAGACGTGATGTTCACAAAGGATCCAAGCTCCAGACTCACTATACGATTATTGTTTAAAAACCTGTAAAAAAATGACAGAATATAACTCTACTGACCAGTGAGTGAGTGAGTTTTAAGTGATATTCAAGCAATATCACGTCAGGGGACACCAGAAATGTGCTTGACAGATTGTACCCATATGGGGAATTGAACCAGGGTATTCAGCGTGATGAGAGGATGCTTTAACCACTAGGCTACCCTACCCTCTAGTGAACCAGAAAATACAAACAATAAATACACCAGCCATGTTTCAAATATCACATCTTTTAAAGGAAAAGAGTACACACAAAGTGCATCTTAAGTTAACATTATTCTCAATTTTTTCACAAAAAACTTCGCCCATACTAGGTCATGCCTTTAAACCCAACCTTCTGGCACATAAAGAAGTACTCTCCCATTTTACAGGCTCCTCCTGTTACCCTGTGATACTCGTTCACAATGTCAGAGAAACAGATATCTGCATGTCAAATATTGCATTGTCAAGGTCTCTAACCTACCTGGCAACTGCAGATAAACATTATACCTCAGATTACTCATATGTAAAGTTACATAATGTAAATATCAAGATTATCTACATGCATCATTTGACACAATCATGCATTTCCTTGACATCCACAGATGTGATTTTTTAAAATACTGGCAGTTAGCCAGAGGTGAGGGTACAAAACGATTCATGCATATATTGTCATGTGAGAGTGAGTGAGTGAATGAGTAGGTATGGTTTTACGCCACTTTCAGGAATATTCCAGCAATATCACGGTGGGGACACCAGAAATGGGCTTCACACATTGTGCCCATGTGGGGAATCAAACCCAGGTCTTCAGCGTGATGAGCGAACGCTTTAACCACAGGGCTACCCAAATGCCCCTGTCATGTGAAAGAGTGGGTATAGTTTTACACCCCGTTTAAAAATATTCCGACAATACCATGGCAGGGGACATTAGACATGTGCTCCAGGCACTGTACCTTAGAGGAGAATCAAACCAGACATCACAGGTGAACACTTCACCACTAGGCTACCTTACCACTGTCCTATTTTGTAATGATATAACTAAAGTGAACCCTAACATAACTAAATCCACCAATCCATAAAAGAATTTGCATGGCTGAACAACTGTATGAAAATTGTGGACACAACGAGTGAGTTCAGTTTTACGCCACTTTTAGCAATATTCCAGCAATATCTTGGCAGATGTGGACTCAAAACAGTGAGTGATTTGAGTGAAAAAGGCTTTAGACCGCTTTAAGCAATATTCCAGCACGGCGGGGGATACAACACATTGTACCCATGTAGGGAATTGAACCTGGGTCTTCTGTGTGACGAGCCATTGCCTTAAGCACTAGGCTACCCCATCATCCCTGCTTAAACAGTGATTGGTTATCACCATTTAGGAGTAATCACTATTACGATTACTTGTATCCTCATACTTACAGTTTTTCAAGCTTTGACTTGGCAGGAAATGTCCCTAGAGGTAAGTCCATAATTTCATTGTAATTCAACTCCAGTGTCTTCAAGTTGGGCATTGATTGGAATGCCTCTGGATTCAGTGTGTTGACGGCGTTGTGGTTCCTTAAGAAAAACAAAAATGTTTTCACACTATTACCTTCTGACAAATGTATAATGATATTCTGAACCGTACAGATAACAGCTATCATTATATCAGATTATATCAATCAAATTATTGTAATACCCTGAAAAGGGGCTTAATGCTTCAGATTACTGTGCAGGCTTAATGAAGTGCATGTACGTGTATAGCGGCTTGTACTTCCGCGGACTTAGGCCTGTTTCAGTATAAGACCACAGAGATACCCCCTCTCTGACACTACTGTCTCCCAGCCAACTAGTCCTAATTTTGTCCCTTAATGCCAAGCTCCAGGCAGGGTAAAAACAAGTAACATAGTTAAATGTATTTTGGTATAACGCAACCAGGGATTGAACCACCGACCAACTGCTCTTGGTTGACACTATCCACTACACCATCTGGTCTATTGATCATAAACCTATCGACCAAGCTCTCAACTAGACACTTGTTGGTAAAAAGCAACTGGGCATTGAACCATGGACTGTCTACTCTCGGCTGACACTCTGTCCACTTCACCATAGAGCATGTCTGTTGATCATAAACCCATCGACCAAGTCTCCCAAAATGTCACTTTCATGTCACATGGAGTGAATGAGTGAGTTGGGTATTATGCTGCTTTTAGCAATATTCCAACATCATGGCGGGGACACCAGATATGGGCTTCACACATTGTACCCATGTGGGGAATCAAACCCGGGACTTCAGCATGACGAGCAAACGTTTTAACCACTAGGCTACCCACCCTGTGTCATATGGAAACAGCATGTACACTTTGTTCATATACAGGCCATTAATAGTGGGCAGTGTTAATCAGCTGTTTGCAAGTAACATGTTTGTGAAAAGTACCCGGTACACAGGCCCAACCCATGGTAACTAGCAACACATGTAATCAGGAGCATGTATAATCAACAGCATATGGAACACATTGCCGAGATATCAGACAGGAGAAGCATATGAAACTACTTACATAACCATCAACAGATTTGAGAATAGAACATATCCCCAAACCTCACTAAGAATGGGCATGCAAGTATCGAAATTTGTCGGTTGTGAATTTCAAGATCTGTTCAACAAGTTTGAAGACAATCATAAAGTTTGACCCTTCTGAGGACATATTTTGAATCTTTTTGAAGATAAATTTTGAATCTTTTGAAGATATATTTTTAATCTTTTTGAACATGAATTTTGAAGCTTTTTGAACATAAAATTTGAATCTTCAGAACGTTTATTCTGAACCTGAATATTAATTCTGAACCTTTTAAAAATATATAATTTTTTTAAGCATAAACTGTTTATCTTTTCTTTACATATATTTTGAACATAAACTTTGAACCTTCCTTAAAATATATTGTTAACATTATTAAAAAAATAACCACCAAAGACATAGTTACAAAGATGAAATAGGTCTGTTATCCATGTCGACCAATGTCGGCTATCAGGAATTCCGATATTAATCTTCACACGATTTACTTAAAAAGTTACTTTTTTTTCTCAAAACACCTTCAGTGTAGAAGAGCTTCACCAGCATATTCAGTTAACTCTCTGCACTAATTAACGCCATACTCAAAGAGAGAAGTTCATCAATGTGAAAACCATTTCTTTCAACACCAAGAACGGTTCTACAGTCACTGAACAAATCCCGAACCACTTCTCATTATTCTTGAAAGAGAAGGATATGGACAGATGAGAAATTCAGGGGGAACGTGTTTTACAACTTTGGTGTGTCAAGTGAAAAAAGTGCGTTAACACCGCAACACAATCTGTGTTTAGGGAGAGAGCACCGTGACTGGGAGGCTGGTCTTCCTGGCCCACTACCCAAAATACAGTAGTGTATTTTGACAGATGCAAGAGTTCACCCTGATGCCTCCCCCACGGTGAATCTGGCCCGAGCTCCCCCACCCCATCCCGAAGCTAGCCTTGTGCTCCCTCTCCATCTTCAATGCTCGTCCCCCCTGACTGTACCAACGCTGTGTTTTGGCATCTTTAAACAAAGCATCAGAGAGGGGCTCACACCTGGCCCTGCTTGGCCTCAATATGTGATACAACTCAGATAATTCTGTAATTTCTGAAATTTTCAGGTGGCGTTTTTCATCTGCAGCATGGGACTGGACAAATAACCACAAGAAAGAATATCTGGGAGTGAGTTTTGTTAGGCTATGATTAGGTGAAGCAGAGAGCAGTGAGCAAATATTGTTGCAACTTGCCCCATCAAATGTCATGGGTATGCTGTCTAAATGATTCAACAATCCAAAAATGTCTTAATCTTTGAGAGCGAATAGGTGAGAAATGGCCTAATGGCTGAATTTGTCAGGAAGTGTTTTGAGATCTGCAATCTCATAATCTGAGGTTTGATCGGCAGTGTGATTCATGTTGTAATTCCTCCAGTCCAATACAAGGGGTACACGTCAGAGCAGTATTAATAACTGCCACCACATGCTCACAACAGCATGTAGCAAATATTAAGCTTAATAAATTATCAGGGCTGGTATTGCCCAAATCCCAAGTGCTTAAACCGAGGCCTTAGGAAGCACGTTGAGCGTGCTAAACTCTCATGTAGTTTGGAAAAAAGTGTGCGCTATCTCTGCCAACCGGCCAGAGGTCAGAGTTATCTGACTGAACAAGCGGTCCTCTGGAAGCCAGAGAAGCATTTATCACAACCAAGGTGAAATTTATCTACAAGTATGACTGAGGTGTTAGTGAGTTAAACCTGGTACCATAGTGACTGTGGCAGGGGGCCAATCTGTGACGGTCCCGGCGTCGCCACTGAGGGTCCCCCATACCTGTCCACACACCTGCCAGGTATAGACATCGTTAACCATCCAGGTAACACAGTCTAGAAAGCAGCAGGAATTGTCTTTGATTTGCTGCAAGTAAGCCCTTCTTCACCATGATTCATCAGATCAGGGAAATCAGGACAAAGTTCCGGTGATTTGTCAAAATACTTTTGGCCGGCATTAATTCAATTTGGTATGCAAACTGTTATTCCAATGCCTGGATTAACCAATGTTAATTATCATATATCTTTGAGACACTTTCCAACCGTGATACTTACAATGCTAATTCTGTTAAACTTGAATTTGCAGACATCACAGGAACCTCGGTTAGTTTATTGTAGTTGAGTTTTCTGGAACAGAACATAAACAATGTTTTGACATTTATCAAGCTTAAAAAACGCAAATAACTGAAAAGCAACCGAAATAAAATCCCTAGAAGTAGCCATTTGCATAGCAACTACAATGTCACCCCAGTTACAAGTCAAGACATTTCAATTTTATCCAAAAGCTTTTAGAGATCTATTCTGTCTCGCTAATAATACCAATTAGATTAACTTCTCCCAAATAATACTCCAGTTAAACATTAGAAATCAATACTTCTCGAAAACAGGAGCACGACAAAGATGCTCCAATGCTGATAGGAAAGAGAAATTTCCATATCTAGTTGAAGAAATTAACAAACGTTGAACTCTTACTTTGCCCATTGAGACTTGCAGCTCGAAATGTGTATTTGTTTTACAGAAATGGATTTTTTTCTCTTTAAGTAGGTAAAGGAGATTCAATCTAAAAGCACCGTAAATAGAAGCTATACTTACAGAATTTGAAGAGACGACAGATTGTGTAAGACGGTGTTGTTTATAAACTTGATGTCATTGTTGCTTAGGTCTCTGGAAAGGAAGAAATATTTTATTAGTGTATGGTACATTTATGAAAAACATTATGAATTTCACATTAATGTACTCAAGTAAATGGATCAAATATTTTATTTTATTTTATTTTTTTATTTTTTGGGTCATGAAGACAATTTTAGAACAATATCTCCCAAATTATCCATGATTCGTAACATTTTTTGTCGAGTGTAAAAGGAAGCAGGTTTCAAATCATGAACGCTTTTAAAGAAATATATATCAGGCCACACATCAAAACAAATCTCTTTTGTCAGCCAGTCGGTGATAGAGAAGATGCTTAAAGTTTTTCCAAATATCCACAATTACCGTAGTGACGACAAAAACTAAATATTCTATTTTCTTTAAATGTAAATTCACAAATGTAATTCTCAGCAATATTATTAAATGTAACAAATACCAAAAGGCATGGTTCTATTTACACAGGAATCGTTCCCATAAATCACCAGTTTCCTGATGCCACACACTTGCTGGAGCATTATCGAAACGTAAATCCTGAAACTCGGTAATTTTATCCAGGAAATGAAAGACCTGGATGGACAGTGTCGAGGGGATTTCGGGGTGGTTAACTCCCGAAATTGAACACCACTCTTAACCTGGTTGCAATACCTTGGATTTTTTGTAGCATGTCTGTAAGCATTATCGTCAGCCATATTGAAAACTTTGCAAACATTTATCACCAAACAAAAGTTTTTCTGCCATTAATTTCTATGTTAAATACCACACTATGAGCACGCATGCTTGAGTTTACCCCAAAATGGGTTTGTTTTGTCAAACTATTTGTAACAACCAAAGCCTTTAAGCCAGGCAGGGTATCTGATACCCATTATTACATATCCATGTCATCTGACCTTCCCACTCCACTGGGGCCCCAAACCTGTATTATAGGACAAGAACATGTCACCGGTTGGCGGAGAAAGACTTGAAGCTGATAAATAGACATTTGCCACAGGCTGGAGGTAAGGTTGCACAACTTTATCACTGTGTAAACAGAGGGACAAAACCAATCTGTGAAGAACGAGTTGTATGGTGAAAATGGGCAACTCTCTAGTACCTACGCTTGCGCTTGCTACTTAAGATGAGCTGATAAGACAGAAATCCCCTTGTTAGCTTATCATATCACCCCGCCTTACGTGTGGTAATTAATAATTATAACCCCATTTTTAACGTTTCATTTGACAGGTGCCCACACTGAAACTTTTTTCTACCTACAGCATTAAAAGTCAGCAGTTCGTGATGAACACTTGAGAAATGAATATCAGTTGTACAAAAGATTTTGCTGCCTCTGAATAATGCTTAGTGTACCTGTATTAGTAAAAACAAATGGCATATAATTACATATTTTAACATAATTTTAACGCCATAATTTAGTTGATAACCTGGCAATAACACATATTTGTAAATTTAAATTTATGTTGAAATAATTCACCAATTCTCCTGTCAATATTTTAAGAAAGAAGTTTAACACCGAAAGTAAACATTTGCTGTGAATTCAAACCACAAAGAAATATCTAAAGAAAACAGTTGTGCACTCAACAATTCAAATTACATTTTTTTGCTATCGACGAAATTCAACCAGAAAGATTTTACGATGCAAATACAAGCTGAGTGTGGATGTAACAGCCAAAGTACATGTGTTTTCTCCAACTGGCAGTTTTATTCACCTAACAACTGGCGATAACCTTCTCCGTCAACTCTTTTATGTTAACGGTAATTGTTACAGGGCAGATTATTCATGATAAAACACAAAAACTGTTTCGACATGTCATAAATATGAACAGAAAACACAACATTATCTCCCCTTTCCACCTCTTCTCACAGCGAGAAAGTAAGTGACAAAAACGAACATGTAAGTGGCGATAATTGCAGACGGTATTACAGAATGGATGCCGGCATGGAAAAAAAGGGGATATAATATATTGTAGTTCAGACGATTATGTTTGTAATGTGTGTAAACTCGTGTACAATGTTTTTCTTGGCATAGAATGTATTGATATTGTTTTCATGCATAGCCGTCACTGATCGTACATCAACTACGGTGAATCCTCTCCTCATAAATCAATCCCTCCCAAATTTAAACAAGAAATACCCTCTTCCTATTGAAAAATTATCATAACATAGAAGTTCAAAATTAATGACAACCTGTGTATTGAGCAACTATTAGTACAACCTAGAACGAAAATTTCACTAAATAACACTACTTAAATTATTCTTTACATCTCGACATTCTGATGCTGAAAAATGTCATAACCTATCAATGCCTGCGCAGCTCCAACGCCAGATCAAAGCAAAATAACTGCGTTTTTTCTAAACTCTAACATGTATCCCCATATAATAAAACGATTAAAATTTATTACTCCGAAACAGTTCATGCATACAGCGAGTACATGTAGATTGGCGACCTCCCTGAGCTAAGTTAGTGAAACCTGTAACCCTGTGCGGAGCCTGTACGTGTGACAATAGCATCTGATTGTGTGCTGTCACACCGTGTACTTCTCACACCACCGTCATTGACAGGCTCTCTTTAAAGCTCCAGTGAAATTGTCTCCCCCCAACTGTTCCCGTACATAACACCCATCGCCATAAACCTCACTCTCCAGGCCTTCCACACAAATGGCCACCTTAACAAGTCAGCCCATGGAAAAAATAATTTAGAATATTTTTATGCACGTCAGCTTCTTTCTGATTTGCCGTGCACTACATATATTCTTATTATCCTGAAAACAGCTTCACACATTCGCTGATCCAGCCATGCTGATTTCACAACTTTCAGATTGGACTTGACAAAAATATCATCACTAATGCTAATACTGACAGTCAGCAATCATTCCGTGATCCATGCTGACTTTACAATCTGAAGACAGGGCCCCCAGCTAGTTTTACAGAACCAGTACAATAAATATCACCTAACATCACCTGTCTGTGATGATTTCATAATCTACGGACAGCAACCAAGCTATCGAACCAGTTCCTTCATGGTGATTTCAATATCTACAGATTCCACCTAAGTTATTGTAAAGATCCAGTACCAGAAAAAGCCAATTAAGGTGACCTGAGAAGGTGTATGTCCCCATTCACATACGTATGTTCATTTCAATCCCAACAGATACCCCCTCCAAAGATCTGCCATATAGTTCTCAGAATCTTTAAGGGTGGTGGGGTAGCCTAGTGGTTAAAGCATTTGCTCGTCAAGCTGAAGGCCCAGAACCCTTTTCATTCCTGCCACTTAATTTGAAATTTCTTCAATATATGTTCAGTGTTAACATGTATATGTAAGTCAGATGAGAGTGTTACCAATTGATGATAAACTGAATGATTAGATATGTACATTATATATGAACTCCCATTATACCTGCTTGAAAAACACTAGAGAAATGATGAGTACTTCTGTCACGTCAGGGGCGGTGGGGTAACCTAGTGGTTAAAGTGTTTGCTCGTCAAGCTGAAGGCCCAGGTTTGGTTCCACACATGGTAAAATGTGTGAAGCCCATTTCTGGTGTTCCCCTCCGCTGTGATATCGCTGGAATATTGCTAAAAGCTGTAAAACTATACTCACTCACTCAGAATTTTAAGAATTTCTAGATCTGGTTGTCGTATTTAGAATATTATTATTTAGAGTTGTCCATGCACATTTTTCTTGATTCAGAGTCTGCGAAAATTCAACACCGTAAGTTCCCTGAGACACCAGTAAAGAATTGATGACTCAGTAAAGTGCTTCAATTCACCAACAATGCTCTAAAATACATAACAAAGCCAGTTTAAGGACCAAGTCCAACAAACCTAGCCATTTCCTGCAAAGTTCCATTAATCATGGAGGCTGCACTACTAAATTCAGACCTGATTAAAGACCACGAGCAGTGGTGGAAATCAAGAGCTGGATGCGAAAAGCGTTAATCCCGATTCAGAGCTTGCCAATTATCACACGAACAAATCAAAGCTGAGTTAGCCGTGTGCAGGTAGTGGTCGAGATCACAGTACTTCCCTGGCGTCGCTCACTGATCAAAAACAAACATGGCCGACCCTGTGATATCATGGCATTAGGCGGTCGCCCGACACATTGAGACCGTCAATGCAAGAAAGGAATTCCACCCTTTGATCACAAACCGCTTACACAATCACTTGGAAATGAAAAGTTTAAGAAAACTTGTGTTTCCATGGTAACTCATTAGTAATCATTTGAATCCCATCTCTACATGTTGACTATGTTCATGGTGGAATTGGTTGTGTAAATGAAGATCACTTATTGAAAACAAAAACATACTCGCGCTGAAAAAACAGAATGTATGAGAAGTGATGTCAAGACTAGTATGAAGTGGCTATCCTGCTCATGTCAAAACTGAGTGCTACCAGCATTGTTTATTGGTTTGTTGTTTAACGCTGCACTCAGCAATAGTCCAGCTATATGGCTGCAGTCTGGAGACAATCCAGTGATCAACATCATGAGCATTGTTCTATGCAATTGGGATATGTGCTACCATCTATCACACTTAACAGATAAAACCAAACGAATATCATAATGTAGACTTGCATCCAGTCTCTAAACAAGAGATGTTAACATAAAAGAAAACCAGAAAAAAATACCCAAAACAGTTGTCAATTTATGTGAAGAAAATATAATAAACGTAAGCAAAGAGACTTTCTTCACTTCCCTGAAACTACAGTAATGTTCACCTGCCAAATGCAACTTGTGTTGTAGTGAGGGTAACCCTTTCTCAGTAAAAGTATATTTTGGGGACTGAGTCCAGGCCTGGCATTCGAGACCATTCAAGCTGAATATTATTATTAGACTGTTCTGCATATGTATCTGACCAGATACAGGGATATACCTCGATTCCTGTATTTGAGGGTACCTGGGACTCATTTTCAGGGGTCCTGGACAACAAAATGGTGGTCCCAGACACTTAAATATTATTACTAATACTGTTATTGTATTGTGTATTATGTCAGATCATCACTTAAATTGTTACAGTAATCAACATGAT